CAGGGTGGAGAATTAAGACCTTACCAGTTAGAAGGGCTTCAATGGATGTTGTCTCTGTTCAATAACAATCTAAATGGAATTTTAGCTGATGAAATGGGGCTGGGGAAGACAATTCAAACTATTTCTCTTATTGCTCATCTCATGGAAAACAAGGGTGTGACTGGTCCGCACTTGATTGTGGCCCCAAAAGCTGTACTGCCAAATTGGATCAATGAATTTCAAACATGGGCACCAAGGTATGGCCGTATGGGTACATTATATTGACTGTCTGAAAAGCTGCATAATATGATGGACCATTCTCTTTGTAAACATGCTTTAAATTTCATTTTTATACTGCAGTATTGTTGCTGTTCTTTATGATGGACGACTAGATGAAAGGAAGGCATTGAGAGAAGAGTACTCTGGAGAGGGGAAATTTAATGCTATAATAACCCATTATGATCTTATCATGAGAGATAAATCATTTTTGAAGAAAATTCACTGGCACTACATGATTATTGATGAAGGGCATAGGTTGAAAAATCATGAGTGTGCTCTTGCACGTACTGTTGCGGGGTATGTATAAACTTGTTTAAAAATTTGAGCATCATGTACCAGCTCATTTTGATCCTCCAGTACTTTGTGTAGTGTATTGTGAATGGAATTTGTAATTTGTGCAGCTATCGAATCCGGCGGAGACTTCTATTGACTGGTACCCCAATTCAAAATAGCTTACAAGAACTATGGTCACTTCTTAATTTTCTCCTACCAAACATATTTAATTCTGTGGAGAACTTCGAGGATTGGTTTAATGCACCCTTCTCGGATAAATGTGATATCACTCTAACAGATGAAGAAGAGCTTTTGATTATTCGCCGCTTGCACCATGTAGGTTCTCACATTGCACTTATATTGTTACATTCTGCTCCGTCTTTTTTTAAACATTTTAAGCTTACACTGTGCTTCAATGTGCCTTATATGTTTCTTCTTTATTTTCATATTCCCAGGTTATTAGGCCATTCATATTGCGAAGGAAGAAAGATGAAGTGGAGAAGTTTCTTCCTGGGAAAACACAGGTTATCCTGAAATGCGACATGTCAGCATGGCAGAAATTATACTATCGCCAAGTGACAGATGAAGGGAGGGTCGGACTGGGTACTGGTATGTCATATCTTCTTTTAGAAGTTAAAACTGTGTGCTTGTGTGTCAACAGTTGGCGCTTTCTGTAAAACTAGCAGCAACTTGTAACAATTTTTATATTTTGGCCTTTTAGGGTTCAAGGATCATTTTTAAACCTATTAAGCTGTAAC